GTGTGATAAGGTCCCTGGTCTGAAGATGGTGAACGCTTCCTTACTGGTTTTTTAAACAGAAATTAGATAGCTGACTCTCATGGATGCTTTAATGTGGATTCCTGCACTGGCAGGGGATGGGACTCGTTGGGCATGGGATCCCTTCCAGTTTTGTGATTCAATAAGGAGACGAGAACAAAGGAACAATTTCTCTCATACCACTCATGTAGGAAGAAGATTCAAATATTTTTGTAACTGGCAGCCTGGTTAAAGTTAGGAAAACTACTTGTGGAAGGGGAAGGTTAGGACACATAACTAGAGCAATAAAAGATAATCAAGAGAAGGATAGGATGGTGTAAGCAGAGAGGCCATAGTCTTGAGTCAGGCCTGAGAACAGTACACAGGGAAATATGTGAACTGAGAGGTCCGGACGCACTAGAATTCTAGCTACTAGAACTACATTTGGCTTCAGCAGTACTGAAATAGGTTCAACATTTTGATAGCTCACATAAACATTTGAGCTAAAAGCCAAATTATTGGCAACTCCAACAATGTGGAAGTCCGTGCCACAACTGAGTTTCACATGCTCTGACATTTACCTATTCATTTTCATGGAGATGCTATGCGGCAAAGTCTTTATCCATTCAAAATTATTCCTGCTATTAGAATAAATGGGGAAGCTTTTCAAAGAAAGGAGACTTGTGTGTCTTTGTTTGCTTGTTTAATTAGGGAGAATACAGAGAAACTGAAACAATTATTTGCACCACTCTCTTAGCTGGAGAAGATATAAGTTCATATAATCCATTGCTGAAGTTGTTCTTCTTGTTGTAGTTGTGTGCCTTCAAGTTGTTTCCAACTTATGGTGACCCTAAGGCAAACCTGTCTTGGGTTTTTCTTGGCAAGATTCGTTCAGAGGGAGCTTTGTCTTTACCCTCCTCTGAACAGATATTATTATCGTTATTGTTGTTGTTGTTTTATGTCCCACCTTTTCCCCAGATTGGGACTCAATTACAAGCTTACAATTTAAAAATGTTAAAAATCTATACAACACAAAAGTTAAAAAAAACAGTTAAACAGTCAGAAAAATTAAAGCCAGGTTAAAATATATATTCAAGCAAATATATACACACACACCAGCACTGTGATTAGCAATATCCAGTGCATTGTATAAGATGGGCCTTATATAATTACTCATCAAATGCCTGTCAAGTAGAAAGTAGAGAGGGTGCCAAAGTCTGGGGCCAGCCACTGAAAAGGCCCTCTCCCATATTCCTACCAGATGTACCCAGCAGGGGTAGGCCAAAGTGCAGGCTGGTTCCTAAGGGAGAATATGGTCCTTCTAATAACCTGAACCTGAGTCATGTAGGGCTTTAAAATCATGGTTTCACTGACAAATTAAATGTTAACAAATCAGCAGACTTGTATGTTCATAAAGACTTCAAACATGAAAAAGCTGATCTTTTCTCAAAAATATATCATGTGTCATTAAGACCTGCCTGCATATGTTACCACTGGAACATGCCCAGTTTAACACTAACCTTTAAAAAGAGGTATAATGTAAAATTCAGAAAATTACAAGCTTGTTATCTTTCTGTCTTTCCTGAATAAATTGGTAGAATGTATTACTAAAGTTACAAATAATCAGTCATATAGAAGGATCAGTCTTGCTGAAAAAATTATTTTTTTAAAATTATTTGTGAAGGATAAAAAAAATGTGAATGGGTGACCTATGCATAATTATATATACAAAAGTAATTGCATATTTTGATTTTTCAAAATATGTTTCACAGGCACCCACAACAAAGGCATCTGATTTAGATGGTATTGAAGGATTTCAATGGCAGCAGAGGCCATTATTGCCTATGTGAGGGCTAGGTATAAAGAACAATAAAATCATAGAATTATAGAAGAATTGGAAAAGACCACAAAAGGCCATGCAGTCCAACTCCCTGCCATGGAAGAAGACATAATTAAAGCACTCCCAACAGATGGCCATCCAACCTCTGTTTAAAAACCTGCAAAGAAGGAGACTCCACCACACTCTGTGGAAGTGTGTTCCACTGTCAAACAGCTCTTACTGTCAGGATGTTCTTCCTAAAGTCGAGGTGGAATCTCTTTTCCTGTAGTTTGAATCCACTGCTCCAGATCCTATTCTCTGGAGCAGCAGAAAACAAGCTTGCTCCATTCTCAATATGATATCCATTCAAATATTCAAATAGTGTTATCATATCACCTCTTAACCTTTTCTTCTCCAGGTTAAACATACCCAACTCCCTAAGTCTCACCTCATAGGGATGGTTTCCAGACCCTTCACTATGTATCCTTATGTCTGGTTATAGTCTCCCTATGCATCTGATTGAGAATTAGTATGGTGTAGTGATTTGGGTGTTGGACTATGATTCTGGAGACAAGGGTTCAAATCCCTATTCTACCATGAAAAACCACTGGGTAACCTTGGGCAAGTCACATACTCTCCACCTCAAAGGAAGGCAAAGGCAAACCTCCTTTGAACAAATCTTGTCAAGAAAACCCAATGACAGGTTTGCCCTAGGCTTGCCATAAATTGGAAATGACTTGAAGGCACACAATAGAACAAAATAACCAAATACATTTGGTGGCTGACTATTGTGCAAAAGATGAACTGGAAAGGCCATTAACTTGACCTAGCTATGCTTTTCTTAAGTTCTGATGATTTTTGTCCATGATTAGATCATCAAAAACAACATAGCTCTGGGTTGCTCAATGCTAGGAATACCAAACATAGCTGATAGTTACGTTTCAAAGGTGTCCATCTGGTTCCCAAGAAGAAACATACAATCTTTAAATAAAAGTTTGAAGCTTCTGGGTATCTCCTGCTGGATAATGTCCCAAACATTCAAGATATCAACCTCTAGATATGTTGGCTTACTGTAACATCCTACTGCAAAGAGATTGAGTTTCATTTTTTAAGATCAAAACCATCACAGAGGACTTGATTAAGCTGAAGCAAACCTTCCCTTCTCTCATGAAATGCCCACTGAAAGATATCTTTGTATCTCATTGAATGGTGGAACAGGGCAAAGAGAATCACAAAAGACTGTGACCTTTCTCCTGTGTTAATATTTAATCAGGCACTTGACCTCCTGGATTACAAATTAACAGTAATTGGGCCCCAAAAGGTTTTCCTTTTCTTATATTAGATTTTTTTTCCTTTTTGAACATGTTACTAAATTAGTTTCACTATTTTTAATAGAAAAGAATTTGTGTTTTTTAAAATACAGGTAAAACACAATGTAAAACTACCACTTTGTCTTTCAATTTAAAAAAAAAACAGTGATGTACTAAGAATTGCTACCTGGCCAGATTTAAATTGGATCAAGCTAAACATGGTTTTACTATTACATTGTTTATAGTTTGTTTTCAGTCAATCTCCTGGGCCCTGGGCCAACTCATGTGACCATTGTGACCTGTTGCTTTTTATTGCTTCTTAGATCAATACTTGGTAAATTAAAGGTGCCTCAGCAAAAATCACTATAGGCACTAGGGCAATCGATATGCACAGGGATCTTGTAGCACCTTTGAGACCAATAGAAAGAAAGAATGTGGTAGCATGAGCTTTTGTAGATTTCAGTCTACTTTGTCAGAGGCAATCTGAAGAATCAAGTCTATGAAAGCTCATGCTTCCAACTTCTTTGTTTCAGTTAGTCTCAAAGGTGCTAAGAGATCCCTTTGCAAACTGTTTTGCCAGACTATCAGGGCTGTGTCTTTGAATTCTGGGCTAATAATAGTTAGACATCAGGAGGTTTACTGCAACTGTTGTATCTTACAACGTAATGTTGGGATTTAGAAACAGAAAAGAGATCACAAACGATCAGTGTAATGCTTCACTGTCCTATGCAAAATTGTCCGTCACACTTATTATTATTATTATTATTATTATTATTATTATTATTATTATTATCCTGCCTCTCTGTAAAAACAACCAGGGCAGCTTGCAAGATAAAACAAACAGTCCTGTCCTCCAATAGCCCACCCCCCCCTTAAAATACAATTAAACAATTGAAATTTAAAACATACTTTAAAATAACAAGTTACAATAAATAACAAGTAAATTAAAATAACTGTAACAGGAAACAAGGTCAGGTATATATTTTTTTTTGGTGGCTGGTTATCTACTCAGGAAAGGCTTGCCAGAAAAGATCCATCTTAACAGCTTTTTTAAAGCTGTTTAAGGTGGTCAAGTGACGGATCTCATCCAGCAGGCCGTTCCATAGTCTGGGAGGGAGAGCTGAAAAAGTCCTCTGGGCAGTTGCCGATAATCTAGTTTTTATAGGTAGCAATAAATTCTTCCCAGAACGTAAATTCTTCTCTCAGGCATTCCAAGTGTGCGGGATAGATTATATGAAAGGAGACGGTCCTGAATATAGGTTGGACCCAAGCCATTTAGGGCTTTAAAGGTGATGACCAACACCTTGTACTGTGCCAGGAAACTGATGGATGGCCTGAGAGATGCCACAATTAAGCTCCTTTTTCACTGAGCAACTGTCCCCAGGCATCACCCTTTGGAATCTGCCCGAGAGGAAGGAACAGAACCATTGCAATGCAATGCCTCCAATTCCTAATTCTCTCAGGCGTTCCAAGTGGATGTCATGGTCTATCATGCCAAAAGCCGCTGAGAGGTCCAGCAACACCAACAGGGTCACACTACCCCTGTCGATGCCCAGATGAAGGTCATCAGCTAAGGCAACCATGGCAGTCTCCACTCCATATCCTAAAGCCAGTTTGAAATGGATCCAGATCATTGGTTTATCCAAGACAGTTTGGAGCTGAAGAGCAACAGCCCTCTTGATCACCTTGTTCAGAAAAGGTAACAAAGAGACTGGCCTATAGCTGTTCATGTCCAGAGGGTCAAGGGAAGGTTTTTTCAGAAACAGCCTGACCATCACTTCCTTCAAACAAGATGGGACATGACCTTCCCTAAGGGATGCATTGATGATGTCCGTTAGGTCAGCCATGAAGGGCAAGAGTCAAGAGGGCAAGTTGTCTTCCTCATTCTACCAAGGAGCTTGTCCACATCTTTGGTACTCACCAGTTGGAACGGCTCCAGTATAATCTCATAAGCAGAGTTGCTGGATACCTCATCTATCGATTCTACTATAATGCCAGTGTCCATGTCGGCTCTTATCTGAGAGATTTTATTTGTTAAATGCGTCACAGCAGGCCGTTGTCAGGTTAAATAATGGGTTCTACACAGGTGGAACTTGTGTCAGTTCCCTTACCACCCTAAACAGCTCTGCTGGATGGGACTCTGCAGAAGCAATACTTGTAGAGAAGAAAGATTTCCTCGCTGCATTTATTGCCTCTCTATAAGAGCATAGAAATTTCCTATGACGAGATAAGAATCGAGTTTTCCACCAGACGCACTCTGGTCATTGTCTTCTTCAACAATCTTCCTGAGTTCATCTTCCTGAGTTCTTCATCTTCCTGAGTTCTTCAGTATACCATGATTGATGATTAGAAGCGGGTTGGAAAGGATACTTGGGAGCAATTGTGTTTATAGCCTTGGCGAGATTGGTGTTCCAGGTATTAATCAAAGCTTCAACAGAATCGCTGGCACCAAACTAAGGCTTTCTGGTATCCAATTGGTTCCATTAGCCTGCGACGGCAGACCATTCTAATGAGCCCTCCACCCCCAACAGGATGGACAGTGGCTCTGAGTTCAGCCTTGACCAGGAAATGATCCATCCATGACAATGCAGAGGTTTTTATCACCTCCACCCATGGATATTCCTGTTCCATACTGAAAACCACATTGAGGGTATGACCTGCACAATGCGTGGGCCCATGTTTGTCATGGACTCCATGAACTCCTGAGCCACACCTGTTAGACTTGACAAACTGGTCTCGAGTGGAATGTTCAAGCCACCAAAGACAACACTTGCATCATGGGCAGTAACTTCCATGTCCATGAGCTCAATTAACCTCTGAGTTTTAGTCCTAAAAAGGAGGTCCAAGGTTCTGCATGCTATTGCCAAAATAGGCTGAGCATTTTTGTTAGCTCCTTCAAAGTTCAAATGCAAATCCATTCCACTAATAGGCTTCCATTGGTCCTGATTCACTCCCACTCTCTTGATTTTGAAAGTATACTTCTGAGAACTCATTTCTCTTAAATGCATGTGGTGGTTTGTTGTTGTTGTTGTTGTTTTTGTGATATTTGAGCATTCACTTCTGCTTTCTTAAAAACATATTGATAAAATCCATTCATAATTCTAAAACTATTTTATCAATAAATATCAGTAATAATGTGGTTTGAACATTGGAGTATGACACTGGAGACCAGGGTTCAATTCCCACCTCACCCATGAAACCCACTGGGTGACTTTGGGCAAGTCACACTCTCTCAGCCTCAATGGAGGGCAATGGCAAAGCTCCTCTGAAAGAATCTTACCAAGAAAACCCCATAAAAGATTCAGCTTAGGATTGCCATAAATTGCAAAGGACTTCAAGGCACACAGCAGCAACAATAAGCATCAAATAAAAAATTCATTATTATTTTTTTTAAAAAGGGATGGGCTTTGACCCAATTTCTGACAATATCTGGATTGAGTGCTCAGATTTCAGTCTGACTGAAAGAAAGGGCAGTGGGGATGGACTGGGACTTGCAGTAGATGATTTATCATCTTACAAAATGCATTGAGATGGTTAAAGCTGCTTTTCACATTCTTAGTTGTCAGTGATTATGTATATTTGAGATCTTTGCATAAGCAGTAAAACGCTTCTAATGGGAGGCTTCAATTTTCACAATAATGTAAAATTTTCCATGTTATAATTGATTTACTGAAAACATACATACTTATCATGAATGTGGGAAGGAGCCCCAACCAGGTTTTGTGTATTCTGTGGCATGACAAATGAGCTTGTGAAGGCTGCAATATAATGATCACCTGTTTTGTATGCAGGAGGGTCTAGGCTCAGTTCTGTTATCTTAGCAGGAGACACCAGGCAGCAGATGATGAGGCAGGTTTCTTCCTGAGACCATAGAGAGCCACTGTCAGTCAAAATAGTTGGTATTACCAGTCTGATGGGGCATGAGGCAGCTTTCTCTGCTCCTGTGTGTGATGTTTGGTCAGAAGCAGCAGGCAGTGAAGAAGAGCAGAGGTAGGGAAATGTTAGCATGATGGTATTGTGTTGTTGTTTCTTCAGTTGCACATTATAGTAAAATTGGAGTACACAGACTATGAAACCCAAGCTTCTTTCTCTGATGTATACTCTGGATCTGATAAAGTTCAGCGATGGATGGGCCCACTTCACAAGATGTGCAAAATCTTGCCAAGTACAATGAAGGTAATAAATTCCATGGGTTTAAACAAGATTGACTTTCACATGGATAAACAAACCAGAGGTGTATTCTCCAGCTGTCCTCTAGAGATCTGCTAGATATAAAGGTAGAAGACA